TCTGAATGTGTGTGAGTCTGTGTGAGGCTCTGTGTGTGTGGGTGTGTGTCTGTGTGAGTCTCTGTGTGTGTGTTTGTGTGTGAGAGAGAGAGAGAGAGTCTGAGTGTGTGTCTGTGCGTACGTGTATGTGTGTGTCTCTATGCATGTGTGTGTATGTGTGTTTGTGTGAGAGTCTGTGTGTGTGTCTGTGTGTGAGTCTCTGTGTCCTTCTGAGTGTCATTTCTTTTGTCATGTAAATCCTCCTTCCCTCATGCTTACCTGCAATTTCAGTGTAACTGAGCTGTATTTTCCAAGTACCTGATCCAGCAGCCATTACAAACACAAACCATTTCTTTTTGTTAAAGTTAATTAAATCACTCCATACAAATACATGCTTTCCAATCATGAAGAAGGGAAACCTACCATTTGATCCTCATTGGTTAAAATGATAAATTGTAATGTTGCAAAGAAAATGTCAAAGAAAATTAATAGAAAGTGTAGAGTCCTCAAGGGAACCTGCTACAGGGTATCGAGGAAATACTTGGTGCTATTGCAGCAAAGTTATTTGTAAATGGTTCAGATTTGGCCTAGATGTTCATTACTCGATAGTCTTTCTAAGTTGAAAATTCTCAAATGAGAAGCAGTTAGTCAGTTTTTAATGGGACTGGGCTAACAACTGGAAGCCTCCTAGAGCCAGATGTTCAGGAACCAAATGAGAATCTGTTTCCCAAATAAAACGTGGGCAATTTGCCATGAACAATGTAGGAATCTCCCAGCCACGAAGGTGAATGCTGTCCTGGAATGAGGCCAGCCTTGTGGGTGATTCTGGAGTGTCACAGTCCTGGTGCTTAATTCTGGAGTAATCCAGTCAGAGTGTATAATTCACTGTAATCAGACCTGGTGTACAATCCTGAAGTATCACAATCCTGGTGTACAATACTGAGGTACCCCAGTCCTGGTGTACAGTTCTGAGGTGCCCCCAGTCCTGGTGTACAATTCTGGGGTGTCCCCAGTCCTGGTGTACAATACTGAGGTGCCCTCAGTCCTGGTGTACAATACTGAGGTGCCCCCAGTCCTGGTATACAATTCTGAGGTGCCCCTAGTTCTGGTCTACAATTCTGAGGTACCCCAGTACTGGTGTACAATTCTGAGGTACTCCCAGTCCTGGTGTACAATTCTGGGGTGCCCCCAGTCCTGGTGTACAATTCTGAGGTACCCCAGTCCTGGTGTACAATTCTGAGGCACCCCCAGTCCTGGTGTAC